ATTTAGCCTTTGTGAAATCACTCAATTGCATAGCGTCTTCTAATCCTCGTTGTTTTCTACGGAACTTCACTAGATCCAGAATACAACATGGCAAAAATCTATATACAAAAAGTCATATAAGCAACCAACGCATTTGTATATAAATATATTAAATATTCCTCCGTTATATCTAACGTATATATACCTCGAATACGATACAATAATCTCGACGCTAGAATGAACCGAATGAATCAACAACGGCAACGAACGATCGCCAAACTATTGACCTTCCGTCTTCTAAACGGATTCTTGAGTTTTGGTTTCCTCTTGCGAATATGTTACAGAGGTTGTGGTTAGTCGGCACGCACCCAACGAATAGCAGATAGGATTAGACGGAATGTGAATGGGGGCGGAAGTTGCTAACCTCGCGTTTTTCGTCACTACAGGACCAGTTTTGGTAGAATGGTCGTATCACCTTTCTTACTCGTCTGATTGATGAACTGTTTGCAGGTGTGGTTTACCAACTCGCAGGGCTACAACTTTGGTCAAGAAACCACGACCAAAGAGTTAGTTAAAGATGGTCGAAATGTTGTCCAAAGTGGACTGACGGAATTTTGCTTCCAAAAATCAGCACCTCTTTCTTCTTCCTCTTCTTCTACTCCTCCACCGGGTCTCCTCTTCCGTCGTGCTCCTGCTGCTCCGACCGAAGAAGGGAGAAATAGGGATGGGAGTAGGATGATTGTGTGTGAGATGGTGAAGGAAACAATGAGGGAGAATAGGGGAGTATATATAATAAAAGAGAATGATGATTTCAAGGAAAGGAAGGGGGATGGGGGATGGACCGTAAAAATGCATGGAGAGTGGGGTGTCAATTCCAAAGTTGTTTCGTAATTAAAATCTAACTTGAACGGTACACACTTTTCCCCCCAACAGCTCCGAATTGAAAACTGATTGCGTTTTTGTAAATTATTAGTCAAAACTAACTCCATGACATGTTTAAAATATTTTTCTCCATACTTTATTTTCTAACTCCCGGGTCCATCCTAATCATTAATTAATTTAATTAAATAAATGTTGAGAGACTTGTTACTAAAAGATCTTTCTATAATTTAAAATATATTAACTTTGAAGTCCATTTAAAGAGATCAAAGTCTTAATATTTATTATTTAAAATAATGAGTCTCATTAAATAATATTTATTTAAAATATTGGCTAACTATTAGGCCGGTTTATAGGGCGTTACATTGTAAATTCATTTAATGATTGTTATATGATATTATTAATATTGTACTTGTGTGCATGATATTGTCTGAAATTTTGAGCTAGTGGGTTCGTTTATGTGCGTAGTCGAAATGTTAGATATTTCTCACTTAACTTTAATGCTGAGTGTGTAGCCCTTTTTCCTACTTGCTACACGTAGGTAACAGAAACAACGAATAACGAAGTAATCCTGGAAGGCAGCGAGGGTAGAGAGATGGATGGATGATAGCTAGAGGGATTTAATTATTTAAATATCATATTGGGATTAATTACGTTTTTGGGAAAGAACCCAAGTTTTATTTTGAATTAAGTACTTTAAAGCTTCCACACCGTTTTGTTAACTTCGATGGTATTTAAATAATGTTTTGAAGTAAATGTTTTAAATTGTTTTGAAAATTATTGTGTTTGATGTCAGTTTAGTAGCAACCCGGTTCACTAATCCTTATATTCGGGTTATGCGGGTTGTGGTGTTACACACTCGCACATCTCCACGTCATCATTTCCCTCCAGGATCAGTATTAGGTGCATCTTCCACCTGATTACCTGCGTGTAGTAAACAAACACTACAGGCTCAACAATGAAGCCGAGTGAGAAATATCTAACATTCAAAACTAGCTCACAACTACCGTATGATATCATGCACGTAAGCATACTATTTCACATTAACATACACATTTCATAATACATTCAACAGGTTCACATCCTCTTTATTATAATAAAAAATTATCACTTAACGCGATGCTCACTATCTATTCTAGACTAAGGGAATTCACATTTCTTCTTACTTAAGAATCATGACTTTCCCCTACAGTACGATGATAACGCTCTACGAACAAAGGAATTCCTTGTTAGGTGGATGGATTCAGTTTTCTCTTTAAATCGACAGTTTACAGATCTCCATACGTATGCTTTTACCCGGACTACCCATTGTCTCGCAGGCACCACACGACATTATACTCTTATGGCATACTTTGCATCCATTCACTGTACTAGAGAGTTTCTAGGTAAACTAATACAATCATTCAATTCATTTGTCTTTATACATAAACATTCATGAATATGAATCAACATGTCAAACCATGATGAATCATAATACCCATAGCGACATAAGATTGGGTGTAAACACTCACACTTGCCATCATACAACACACAAGTTCTCAGAACTCATCTAAGTTCTTAATAGGTTAGACTTATTCAAATTAGTCAGGCTTTTGTCTGTAACTGACGTGCCAGGTTATTCGCACAATTCATGTATTATTCGAATAATGCAATACAGAGTCTAATGATCAAGAGTTTCATGACGCTGGTATTTCTTCAATTTATTTAATTTAAATATTGATAAAGTTGACCAAGTAAATTTCACCCATGATATTCGAACTTTCATCATTATTTCACTTCGGTATATAAACTTTAATTCCTATCAAAAAAGTACACGAACTTTCAACATTCTTTCACCGGTGGTCCAATAGGCGGTTTCTAAGTCACCTTCAGGTCATTTGGGGTCAAACTGTAATTTTATAAATTTAAATTTTATGATTTTGACCCCTTTTCTTTGTTTCTATTGGTTCTCCTAGGGCTGTGCATCGGTCTAAACCCGGACCGGACCGGGACCGGGACCGAATAAGAGCAAAGTAATGGACCGTAGACCGGACCGACAAAGTGTAAGACCGGATCGGGACCAGACCGAAAAAAACTGGACCCGTCCGGACCGGCCCGAATAAGGACCGAATTAGGGGAATATGCCAATTAATTCAAACTTTGAATTGAAGAGAAACATCACTGCTATCCAATTTTAATTTCATACTTCATTATGTTTTAAATTAAAAAACAAAACAAATGGGAAATAGATACTCGGTAGTATCACTGCTCATTACGGTAATGAATGAAGACCAACTAAGTGTTCGGCAGAATCGAAGTTGACAAAGTGTTTGTCGTTTGATATTTTTTTGCCGGCGAGAAGAGAGTGGTCTGTGCATTAAGGTGGATTCCATAATTCGAGGTAATGGATTTGTGTATGGTAAAGCCGATATACTAAAAGTCTAAAATAGTAATATAAAAGCTTGGGATGGCAATTATACCCGAATCCGACTTTTACCGACCTGACCGGAGCTTGTAATATCCGAATCCGAACCGAAAAATCAAATATCCGAAACTGACCCGAAAAAATTTAAACCGGACCTGACTTTTTGTCGGGTCGAGTTTGGGTTAGTATATTTGACCAACCCGACCTGTACCCGACCTGACCCGACATATACCCGACTTTTAATATGTTATTAAAACCCTAAATTCCTATATTCCATGTATTTTTGATGTACATATTTTTAATGTTTTAAAATTTATTGCACTTTTTGCATTTCATTTTTATTGTAGTTTATTCTTTTGTGTCATACATATGTTATTTTCTTTGTAATTCGTATATTATTATCTGAAACTTACTATTTATTTTTTTAAGGGTCATAATTTTTTTTTTTAATATCTTAAATTTATAGCTGTCTTTAAAATTTTAAATTTATAATGAATTTCAATCTTAAAATTTCCATGAAAACTTTTATTAGTATTCAAACCCCAAGTTGACCGTAACCAACCCGATCGAATCTTGAACCGAATCCGAAACCGAAAAAATAACTATCCGAAACCGACCCTCCAAAATCAAACCCGAATCCGACCTAAGTTGGGTCGGGTTTCAAGATACTCAAATCTGACCGAACCCGACCCGCTGCCATCCCTATTAAAAGCCCATATAATCGGTCCACCAGTCGGTCCACCGGTCTCACCGGGTTTGGACCGGACCGGACCGGAACCCAGATAACGAAAATTGATGGACTAGAGACCGGACCAAATTAGGACCGGTCCGGACCGGTTTTGGCTGGTCTTCGGGTCGGTCCGGGTTTGGACCGAATAATGCAGAGCCCTAGGTTCTCCACTCTTTTCTTCATCTTTTTCAAGACCCTAGGGATGACAATTTTATCCGAATCCGACTTTTTCCGACCCGACGGAAGTATATAATATCCGAATCCGACCGAAAAAATTAATATCCGAAACCGAACCGAAGATTTTAAAACTGAACCCGACTTGTATCGGGTCGGTTTTCGGTAATTAAATCTGACCGACCCGACCCGTACCCGACCGACCCGATAAATAATCCGAAATAAAAGGCTTTTGTAAAATATAAAAAACCTTTTAAAATTAAAAGTACAAAGCAAATAGGAGTTGGACTTAAAGGAGTAACGACTTACACTTGCGGGAGTTGCGGCTGTTTGGAACCCTAGTCGCGAGTCGCAGATCTCCGATTCTCCTCTCCTATTCTCGTATCCGCAGCCGGCACTCCACAGCCCTCCTACCGGCGAACACTGGCGATTCTTCTTATTCTCCATCGGCGACCATAGTGCACAGCGACAATCTCAGGTGAACTCTCTCTTCCTGCTTTTCCTTCCATTCCACTGCGGTTCTTTATTCAATCAATTTGTTTTCTGTTCTGTTCATTATCTCGGGTTCGGTTGCGGTTTTGAGTTTCGGTTTAGGCGGTCGGGTTCGGGTAGGCTTTTATACCAGGCGGTTCGGGTCAGGCAAAAAAAATATTCTATCAAAATTTTGGGTCGGTTTTGGGTAAAGATATATCCGAACCGAACCTGACCCGTTGCCATCCTAACCCTCCCCCTACATTTTTTTTCTTCTCTTTCTCTTTCACCCCACCCACACCCCACCCACACCATAATGATAAAAGTTCTTATACATGTGTGAATTTTACCCAAAGTTTGACCGGAGATTGTCCAGACCACTGCAGGAAGGTATCTGTCTTCTTCATCCACAGCCGACTTCGACCACAGCCACCGTACTACTCGACGTCGCGCCGCCTTCTTGACGCTCTGATCCCTGCGCAACCGTCCGGTTCTTTTCTCCGTCGTAATCGCGGTGTCTTCCTCGGCTCTTCTCTAAGCGAACTCTGAATTTCCTCCAATGGCTAAATCGGTACGACTGTGAAAATTCTCCTCTCCTCAATCTAAAATGCAAAATTCTAAGTTAAAATAACCCTTTCTTCAAAATCCTTGATCGACACAGCCAGGCACCAGGTCGTTGATAATCGGTGTAGTTTGACGCTGTTCCATTTAACACAAGTTTAGAATTTGTTCCCTTTTTCTTCGATCGTATTTGGTGGTGAAAATTCTACTTCAATAAAACGAAGGCAACGAGCTTTTTTTTAGAAGCTTTTGTATTAGAATGTTTTGTGAACTTCGTTTCAGACAATTTTTCAGTCGTAGATGTGTTTATTGCAAATTGATGGAGTATTTGGGCTTGTGCCTGTGAAAAATGCTGAGTTTACTTAGACATTTTCATCAGGCATGGCATGCCCTTTATCTTGAGACAGGTCGCTTGATTACTAGGCATTTCAATCAGAACAAGTTATGCCAGTAGAATGTATGATATGTTTTAAATCACAAAAGTGAGGAGAATATATTTAAGCACTTGTGGATAAGAGAATGACATCTTTATCTGACTGCATTTAATTTTCAGAATTCATTTGAAGTTTCTTCCCACATGGAGAAATTTTTGTGTGAGCGGCTGTTGGATAAGACACAACCAATTGCCGAGCGCTTCAGAGCCCTATTCTCTCTTCGTAATCTCAGGGGCACAGGACCACGGCATGCTCTTATACTTGGTTTGTTATGTCCCTGCTCCAATTTTTAAAGCACCCGAGTACATTTAAATTTGTGTTAATTCACTTAAGTGTTAAATATGCTCATGTCCTTTTAGATTGATGTTCGGACTTGGTTTTAGTTAAAATTTACTGCAAACTAATATAGAGGCATTATTGGAGAAGAATACCAAGTTTGTTCCAGAACTAAAACATTCTCAATCAGCCATAGAATTTTTAATTTAGTTTTTTCCAAGCTATATTATTTTCTAGCAGACACTCCATTCTGGTTACTTCTACTAAAAATTGAATTATAATTGTAAGTGGATTACTGATAGTTATGGCTTTCACATTTAATTGACCTAAGATCCACTGTTGAATCAGAAAGCTGAACATTACCGGCAGTTTATTGTAGTGCACTATTGTTTGTTTGTATATTCTTGTTTGTTTTAGTTTATTACCCAAGATTCAACATCAGTAGCTTTAGTTAATGACAAGAATACCATTACCATGCCTCTGTCCAACTTATTCATGTGGCAATGCTTCTTCCCTTTTTGCCTCTTATCTTTTTACACGACAAAGTAGGTTAACATCCATTTTTTCAGCTCTTGGAAATTGTTGAGAAAGTAGGTTAAAATGACACCAGTTACTTATACACCAGTTGCTTACACCAGTTTGTTTGGGGTACCTACGGTGCTCAATTTGTAAAAACGACAGTTCCTACCCCCCCTAACCCTCCACCTAAACCCCCCACCCCAGCCAAACCCTTGCCCCCCCACCCCAACCCCCTCCCTACCCTGGCAGTGCCTGGCACTCTGGCAGTACTGCCAGGGTAGGGAGGGGGCGGGAGGGGGGGCTGGGGTGGGGGGTTTAGGGGGAAGGTTAGGGGGGGTAGGAACTGTCGTTTTTATAAACGGAGCACCGTAGGTACCCCAAACAAACTGGTGTAAGCAAATGACACTAGTAGCACTGGTGTCATTTTAGACTTACCGATATATATATATATATATATATATATATATATATATATATATATATATATATATATAGATTTTGGTTCAGGTGAGAATGCAATCTAATGAAAGAAATAAGAATGAATCTGGTGCATTAGATTGGGAGATCTAAGGGTTAGGATTGCATCAAAATTAGGTGCACCAAGATGGTTTGAAAATGCATCATGTCGAAATGCACCATAATCCTTTGAAAATGCACTATCTCAAAATTTGAGTGCAGAATGCAATCTGAGCCGCACGATGCATCAGATCCAAAGGCCAGATTTTATTCTTATTTCTTTCACCAAGGTGCATTCTTACTTGAACCAGCCCCTATATATATATATATATATATATATATATAT